TTCAATTCCAGTGTAAATGTTTTGGATCCAAGTCAACTAAAACAAGAGCAGAAAAAATAGAAACTACTCAAAAGCAAACATGACTTTAAGTGACTTAGTTATCAGATTGAGTTTGTTTTCTCTAATGACTTTAGGAGTAACTGCTTAAACATCATCTCTTCTCAGAAATCTTGATAACGCTTGGCTTTATCAAAGCTACATGTTTGTTCTTAGGATATGTTGGTTCTGTAATCTAATTCCATTTGTGTTATCAAATTAGGTTTAGCTGATATGTTTTTCCCTAATTTAAAACGGATCGGTTCAGATGTGCCATCCTGTCTGACCCTTTTTACGTCTTTGTCTGCCTGTGTAGAAACAGTGGTAGTGGGTGTGTAGTTATCATTCCTGAGGTGTCTTGTGAGTTTTGTCATGTGATCCTTCGTACATACTTCTGTCACTGAGGTGGCCCCCCCCCCGTCTGCAATGTGGTGACTGGGTCAGTCCCTGATGCAGAGAAAAAGTTATTACATGTTTAAAAAAAAAAGTATTGTATCTCAGGGATTTACGAGATAATATCCAGCCAAGTTTTTTTAATTCAAACTGGTTCATTTTGTGTATGAAGACGGACATGAAAGTTGAAAGAAGGAGCATTTAATTGCTGTAGTAAAGATGAATAAATACAAAATAAATCATTTTCTGATTAGAAATAAATAGTTAAAACCTGCAATAAAACAAATGACCATGATCTCATGTTGCAGTATCCTCCTTTCTCATTCCTTCCATCTTCTGAAAGGTTCAGATGGAGGTCTTCTGCCTCACCACGACTATTTTTAACAAGGCCTAAAAGCCAAGCATTGGACTGACACACACACACACACACACACACACACACACACACACACACACACACACACACACACACCCTCAGACAGGTGCCAACTTCTGTGCCGAAAAGTGTGGTGTGGTGTGTTGTGGTGGGGTGTGTGTGTGTGACTGTGGGTCAGTGTGTGTGTGTGTGTGTG